TCTCTCATTGATGTTTCTAACTCTCTATCTCTCTCCCTTCCTCTCTGTAAAAAATCAATAAAATATATTTAAAAAGAATAAAAAAAGATAAGGGCAGCAGAGCAGCTCAATACAGTCCTAAAAAGGAAAACTAAAAAAAAAGAGTAGAGTTCTGATCAAATGATATCAATTTGAGGCTCTGTCTTGCTAGGCTGCATAATGTTGTGCAAAGGCTAAGTCAGGGCCCTGGGGTCTTCCATTTACAATTAGTGCAACCTGTGACAAGATAGTATAGTTCTCTAAGATTTTACTCTGTCTAAAATCAAGAGGTTAATCTAAATAATTTATTTTTAACTAAGGGGATGGAAGGCCAAAATTTGTAGGCTATAGTTTTATATTGCATATTTAATAATATGTTCTTATAGTTACAAAGATAAATTATGTATATTAAAACTTGATGGCCCTCACATCAATTTGAACAGGAAAACAATTTCCAGTGATTATCAATAAAAAGTGGCAAATGTCTATGGAAGGATTATTATATTCTGTAAGGGGCATCACACTTTTAAATTTATCAAAAGCAGATGCAGCTTATAGTCCATTGAATCATCCTTCCAATTGATTCTTTTTTAATTTTTTTATTTATTGTCTAAAGTTTTACATATGTCTCCTTTTTCCCTGATTAACTTTCCACACCCCAGCCATTTCCACCCCAGGCAAGCACCCAGCTCCCCAGTGTCTATGCCCTTTGGTTATGCTGTTATGCCTGCATACAAATCCTTTGGTTGCTCTATAACCTCCCCCCACCTCCCCTGCCATTTGTCTCTGGATCTGTTTTTGTTCATCAAATTATGTTGATCATTATATCCCACATATGAGTGAGATCATGTGATATTTATCTTTCTCCAACTGGCTTATTTCGCTTAGCATAATGATCTCCAGTTCCATCCATGCTGTTGCAACTGGTAAAAGTTCCTTTTTTTTTTTTTATAGCGGCATAGTATTCTATTGTGTAGATGTACCACAGCTCCTAGGGCAATGGAGACTAAGGAGAAAATAAACAAATGGGACTACATCAAAATCAAAAGCTTCTGCATAGCGAAAAAACCCATCAACCAAAGAACAAGAAAGCCCACTGCATGGGAAAATATATTTGCCAATGTTATCTCCAATAAGGGTTTAATCTCCAAAATGTATAGGGAACTCATACAACTTAACAAAAGGAAGATAAACAATCCAATAAACAAATGGGCAAAGGACCTAAATAGATACCTTCCTAAAGAGGGCATACAGACAGCCAAGAGAGATATGAAAACATGCTCAAAGTCACTAATCATCTGAGAAATGCAAATCAAAACAACAATGAGGTACCACTCACATCTGCTAGAATGACAATCATCAACAAATCAACAAATGACAAGTGCTGGCGAGGATGTGGAGTAAAAGGAACCCTTATGCACTGCTGGTGGGAATGCAGACTGGTGCAGCCACTGTGGAAGACAGTATGGAGTTTCTTCAAAAAGTTAAAAATGGAACTCCCATTTGACCCAGTAATCCCACTTCTAGGAATATATCCCAAGAAACCAGAAACACCAATCAGAAAGGATATATGCATCCCTATGTTCATAGCAGCACAACTTAAATAGCTAAGATTTGGAAACAACCTAAGTGCCCATCAGCAGATGAGTGGATTAAAAACCTGTGGTACATCCAATTGATTTTTAAGGGGGTTTTAAAATTCTATCATTTCATGATTAAAGATTAATATGCAATGTAGTTGTTGATGGAGCTGAAAAATTCTTGATTTCAAGTTCAAAGTTCTTCCCTAAGTCGTCTATTTATATATTTATTTATAATTAATATAAGCCTTTATGTACAATTGGATACAAAATATAATGTAAATATATAAAAATTTGGAAATTATTTCTTAAAAATGTAAATAGGTAATTTCTCTGATTGTCATGCTTTTTAAATTTTATAGAGCTGGAAGAACTTAAAAGTAGACTAATAATAAAAGTTGAGACTCTGGATCTATTATTACTATGACTTTGCATTTCTCTATGAAAGTGCTTTTTTATGTGTTTTCAATATACTCTCAAATTTTTACAGTTCAATCTAATAACTGTCACAGAAGGCTTAGAGGAAATATGGGAGTATATAACTAGCAATCTGAAATAGTGGCTTTGATTTTAAATGAGCTTCAAAAGCTCTTTTCTTCACATGTAGATATTCCGCAGTGAGTGATGTGCCTCTTCTCAACTTCACAATAAATATCCATGAAAATATTCAAAAAGTCTAGATGTCAAAAACTGAAAATGGCAGAGTAAACTAAAAGTAAAAGAGACCTATTTGTTAAAGTCCAGGGCCATTCCCACTTGGTGCCTTTCCTTGGTGATGTGTTGAGAAACGCATCCTTAAAATACCCACCACCCCTCCACACTGAATTAGAGCACTACAGAGAAACACCTTTTCCCTACGTTCCCCTATCTCCCCATTTTTTAAAAAGAGAGCTTGAAAAAGACACTGATCTCAGCACTATCCTGCTGCTCCCCTCTAACCCCATGATACACAAAATTGCCATTCATACGCCCCAATACTGGGCCACTATCTTTGGTGACAGAGTCAGTGGCCCCACTCCACTCTTTTAAAATATATATATATATTTTATTGATTTTTTTACAGAGAGAAAGGGATAGAGATAGAGTTAGAAACATCGATGAGAGAGAAACATCGATCAGCTGCCTCCTGCACACTCCCTACTGGGGATGTGCCGGCAACCCAGGTACATGCTCTTGACCGGAATCAAACCCGAGACCCTTCAGTCCACAGGCCGACGCTCTATCCACTGAGCCAAACCGGTTAGGGCCCCACTCCACTCTTATTAGTGTTTTTTCTGTATGGATCCTTTCAATGATACAACACCCAGTAGTTGACATGGCAGGAACTAGGATGTGACACAGCAGCTTATTGTAACGTGTGATGCTAAGTGACCAAAGGAAAAACGTGTCAGAAAAGAAAGATAAGAAGAGCACCAGAAGCACTGCATGCTCTGAGGTGTAGTGTTTCACGTTATTATTCTTAGTGCAAAAATAAAGTATAAACCCTGAAAGCTGGGTTTTCTTTTTTGTAATCAAGTGCCAGCTTTGATGGCTGAGGCATCCACTTCAGGAGGCCACATTGCCAGCCACACAAGTAAAGAGGGCCAGTACTCCTCACTGCTTTGTTTTAGAGGTTTGGATAAGTGACCATTTGGGCCAATTGTTCTTTTATCTTCTTCATTTTATTATTATTTTTTTAAATGTATTTTTATTGATTTCAGAGAGGAAGGGAGAGGGAGAGAGAGATAGAAACATCAATGATCAGAGAGAATCATTGATTGGCTGCCTCCTACATACCCCCCACTGGGGATGGAGCCTGCAACCTGGGCATGTGCCCTTGACCAGAATGAAACCTGGGACCCTTCAGTCCACAGGCCAATGCTCTATCCACTGAGCCAAACCGGCTAGGGCTCTCTTCTTCATTTTAAATTCCCAGTCTTATGTTTTAAATTCACCAATAAAGAATGAGCCTGCAGCCCAGCCAGCGTGGCTCAGAGGTTGAGCGTCCACCCAGGAACTATGAACCATGAGGTCACCAGTTCAATTCCTGGTCGGGTACATGCCCAGGTTTTGGGCTCGATCCCTGATAGGGGGCATGCAAGAGGCAGCTGATTTGATGTTTCTATCTCTCTATCCCTCTCCCTTCCTCTATCTCTAAAAATCAATACGAACATATTAAAAAATAAATAGAGAGAATGAGCCTGCAAAATCCTAGACTCCTTTGACCTCAATGAAAATAGAACCAGGCCATAAAAAAGAATGAGCCTGCAACAATAACCCACCCTTGACCTCAACAAAAGTAGAATCTCAGGACTATCTCATTCTTTCTCTTTCTCTCCCTGTAACCTTGCTGTATGACCACATATGTGCCATGTAATTTCCAGGTTTTATATGTAATAAACTTTGTCTCTCAAAGTTTCCTGATTGTCATTGCTAAGGGCATCTTGCAATCATAATAAGAGCCACAAGGACTGGTCCATCCACAACATTGATTCTCCAGAGGCTGAGAAAAGCACATGGACACTCCCAAATCAGAGAACTTGCAGGAAAGTGAGCCTCAGTCCACCAGCCCAACATTCAATTCATCTCTACGGGATATCACAGAGTGAGTTAGGATCCTTGTGCATCAACCTGACCTCCTGGTCTAGATCCCTGTGGGGACTTTTATAGTAACCTAGAGGAGAACAAGCACACAGTGAAGGTTAGGACAGTTGATATCCACCTAAGGCTAAGCCCAGACTCATCATGCCCCAGCTTAGGATACATGAATATTCAACAAAGTAAACAAGCAAACAAATAAAATGAAGCATTAGAAAAGGCAAGAACTATCATGAAGCATGAAAGCAAGAGCCTAATTTTGGAAATTGTTTTCAGAAAGAAAGAGGACATTTATAACATCAATTCAAACATCAATTTCATGTTCTCAGCAAGATACAAATAAAATTGACATCTATAAAAAAGAAACATGAGTCAACAAGATGTGACAGGGTTGAAAGTCAGTCATTCAACTAATGTTTGTTATAATGTATGAGATATACACATAAAACTTACTTTAAAAAATTCCACTCATTTCCAAAAATAATATAATAAAGCAAGTAATTATTGTTAAAGAGCATAATTGATGCTGCAGAAAATCTATTCAGAGACAGTCTAAGGAAAAGACAAAAATATAAAGGAAAAGAAAAAGAAGGAAAACTAAAATAAGTTTTACCCTAAATATTGGAAAAGTATAATCAGAAAACAAATATAAATCCTCAGAAGAGACAGAACAAATTTAAAGAGAAATCATCTCTGTAGGAAAAGAAAGAAAAAGAAAATCTACAAAGGATAATTATAATTCTTAAAAATAGAAACAAAGCTCACATATCCTGGCAATTTCCTCTCTTAATTTCAAGCCTACCAAAGGAAACATCCTGTACTTACCCACAAAGGGATCCTCTAAATGAATGGGTTTCTGATCTAGAAGGTGCATCCCAGCATCCCATTGCCTTGTTCTCCTGTGAGCACATAGCCTTGGTTTGCTTTCATTTTGCAAAGAGGGGAACAGAGAGCATAGGAACCTGAAAGACAAGAGTAATTAGTAGTAGAGCCAAAACTACATGCCTGGTCTTGTTACCATAGTTGGCTAAATATTACTGAGAAGCAAGCAAAAGGGAGTCAGACATGGTCAGCATGGTCAGCTGGGAAGCAGAGGCAAGCTTGATTCACCAGGAAGTTACAGCTTTGCACTGCTCCCCAGAGAACCCCCACTCCGTTCCCACAGTTCACTGGGGGAAGGGGTAGAACAAAAGGGAGAATAAGCACATGCACATTAGAAGTCAACCTGGTGAAGGGGCAGGAGCTTGACCATAGAGGCCTGTCAGTCTAATGGTTAGACTCTAACCTGAGAAAGGAATCATTGGTTAGGGTGTAGACCCATCAGAAGCCTGCAAAAGCTTGGAAAGCTGATTGAGTATTTTGAAAAAGTTCCTAGTTAAAATACCAAGTGAACAAAGAATCTCTCTCTCTCTCTCCCTCTCTCTCTCTGTGTGTCTCGATCGGAGACCCACACTCCCCCAATTCTTTAGTGCCCTCCCCTCCTCCCTTGCACCTGTCTCCCTTGTGTTACGGAAATGCACATTCTCCCAGTTGGTAGCCTGTGTTTCTTCCATGGACCCCCAATTCTAAAAATTCCCTAAACCTGCTGCTATCCCCTAAAATTCCTATTTCACCAGGAAGCACTGTTTCACATGAAATCAACTTCAATCCAGCTGATTTTTCAAAATTAACAATATGGATGAAAAAATGCAATGGCATTTAATAGAGTAGTTGAGGAAGGCAAAAGGACTACTTTTGCCCACCTCTGTTACTTTTATTCAGTAAAAGTTTCATACAAGCATTCTGAAGGTTGTTTTTACATTTATTGTAACTACTCATAAATTTTAAAATGGCATGTCTAATATGTTATAACACTTAGGTCATAAGAACTATTGATTGACAAATTGTGTTTGCCAGTGTACTTATTTTCAATTAACAAAGTCCTTAAAGTATGCACTATAACAATTTTGTTATTCTTTTCGACAAGATTCCTTTGATTGATTATTTCTATAAATTCCACTCTGAACACCAGTGAGTGATCTGAAACATTATAGAAAGTATAAACTGCCCACCACAGTTTCTGGTATGCAGCCAATGTTCAATAACTACTTATTTGATTTTCACTTATGGTTTAGTAGATGAAATATCCTGTGATATAGCTAATTTACTTTTTAAAAGTGCCCTCATTTGGGAGAAATCTGGGAGCATTGAGAAGAGTATTTCAGGGACACTTGACTCATATCTTCTACAGAACGCTTTCAACTCATTCAATGTTTTCCAGATGGAGTGAAATAATGCACCATATTGTTGCTGCCTTAAAGTGCTAATTGTAACACATTGTAACTGCTGTTAATTTATTTTCTGTCTCTCCTATCTAATGAAAATCTAGGAGCTCCCACACAGGTGACTTTGTCTTTATGAAACAGACAGATGTTAGAATCTTAGAAACACAGTAAGAAGAAGCAGAAAATGTGAGCTGTTTCTTAATTTTATTTCATAAAATTTCTATTCTATTCAAAGCTAGCTCCTTCTAATAAAAAAGAATCAGATCCATTGAAATGTATGAATTGCAATAGTTAGAAACAAAAAGAATTTGATTTTTTTTTTGTTTTGTTTTGATATGGGATTTTTGGACTGGAACACACAGTGTTTGCCTGGGCAGGATGACTTCGCTGGATTCTTTGTCTATAGGAGTCAAAGAATGAAACCATGGACAGAAGATGATACAGAAAAGGTGGAAATTTATGAAAGAATAAGCAGACTCCCACGTGGGGAGGGGGAAAGAATCTCACGGTGTTCCTTTTTCCCTAGTTTATAAAGGCTGCAGTTTTTGTCCCTCCATATTCCCTCTGATTGTCCATTATTCTCTTAGATTTGGTCACCATAGCAACTCCTGAGCTCAAAGGTCAAACCTCACATGGGACATGTGAGGCCTCTTTTTTATTTTGTAAATATAGACCTTTGGCTACTCCCAGTTCCCTTAAGTTATGGAAATGTAACTTCTGCCTTTCTCTTGTGTTATGGAGATGTAACTTCTGCCTCCCAGAATTTCCTTGTCTTATGGAAATGTACTCTTTTGCAACTCTGTAGCCTTGTGTTTTTTCCATGGACCCCTTAATTTAAAAAATTCCATAAGCCTGCCTATTTTCACCCCTAAAAATTCCTATTTCAGTTTCTACTCCTTTATTCCTTGGTTTGGTTTTTCTTTGGTTTCTTAATTTTGCAAATTAAGCTAAATAGAAGGGAGCAAGTGTTACTTTAAATATTCACATTTAGCCGAAACCGGTTTGGCTCAGTGGATAGAGCATCGGCCTGCGGACTGAAAGGTCCCAGGTTCGATTCCGGTCAAGGGCGTGTACCTGGGTTGCGGGCACGTCCCCAGTGGGGGATGTGCAGGAGGCAGCTGATCGATGTTTCTCTCTCATCGATGTTTCTAACTCTCTATCTCTTTCCCTTCCTCTCTGTGGAAAATCAATAAAATATATTAAAAAAAAATATTCACATTTAAATAGTCAACATTTCACTGTACTGTGCTTTTTTTAAAACAAAAGTTCATCATGATACTTTGTTTTAATAATGCTGGAAAGTACAAAATTTAAAAAAAAAAACATCTTATGAGTAAAGATGATATAAAAATTTCTTCCATGATCAATTAATTTTTAAAAGAAGATTTAGAAGATTAGGTATAGCATAATCTCATTTTATTAAATAAAAATGTCTCTGCATAAATATAAATCCCTGCACACATATACATCCATATATTTGACCATGGGCATATGACCCTATATAATGATAGAATATTTTTTTTTACTCACTTTTTAGTCTAAGCTTGCAAGCTACCATATTCATCTAGTTTTGCTATTATATCTCTGGTTTTTTACTCTTATTTTCCTTTGATAGTTTTGCTACTCCTTAAGTCACATGAGCTTCATAGTCAGCTAAAGATACGCTCTTAATTCTATTCTCATTACATCTACAATCACTTTCTCAGTGATTGCAACCACTCTCTATCGTTAAATAGCATCACTAAGCTTATATTTCCTTACTGGATCTCTTCCCTGACTCTAAACTCATGTCCATCTGCTCATTTAATATCTCCACTTGAATGACATACAATCACCTAAAACTTAATATGTCTAAAATTGAATTTCTGATCCTTAAACCATCCCAAACTTGCTGTAATAGTCTCACCATCGCACCTCAAGAAAACTCTGTCTTTCTAGTTTCATAGGCTTAAACATTGGGTGGCATCCTTGCTCCATACCCCCCAACCTCACCCCCATCTAAAACACTACCAACTATTGGGTTTACCTTCAAATTGTACACTAAATTCTGGCACTAAAGTGTTCACATTAATTTCTGGGACCACACATTAGTCCAAATCCTTTTCCTGCCTGAGCTATTGCAAATCTTTCTTGTTTCCCTTATTCATCCTTTGTCTTCAGTCTTTCTCAACATAGCCAGCATCACTGTTTAAAATTAGACTGAAATAATTTCTCTTTTTCTAAAAACCCTCCAATATTTTTTTTTCATCTGCTTCAGAGTAAAAATCAAAGTACTTACTTGGACATATATCCTTGGACTTCCCTACTGGGTAATACTAACATTTCCTTTTTACCTTTCCTCTCCAATTCATTCACATATGCCCTTGTTGCCCTCTGACATTCTAGTCAACTCTCAGTTCAGAGTCTTTGCTATTCTATCTTTCCTTCAGTTAATGACAATATAGCATCATCCCCAACTCTAAGTAGTCATAGATGATTAAAATGGAGAAGGGATGCTAAGTATTTCCTAGTCCAAACTTATTATTTTAAGTATCTGAGGCCTAGAGAAGATATAATGCATGCCAAAATTTATGTAGAAAATAGTCAACTCATCTGGGATTAGAGTGAGTATCTTCTGATATCATAGATGACAGCATTTCTCTCTGTGATGCTGCCTAACAGCTTCATGTTAAAATCACATCTTAGAGTAGACTTTGTATTTGCCAATTATTTCCATATATACTTTGATCTTCTCTTCAAATTAGAACATTCATGTTATTTGTCTTGGGGGCCGGGAGGCGGGGGGGAACTGGTTTTAATTTATATGTCTGCATTTCCATTCTATATAACAAATAGAAGGGATTGTTGTGTGTGTGTGTGTGTGTGTGTGTGGGGAGATATTGAAAGTCATTAAAAACAAAGAAATAATTATGCTATAAATTTCAACCTAAGAAATTGAAGTTTGCAGTTAAAAAGGTATATTAAACAAAAATGTTAACATTGGACTTTGGATAGAAATATTGAGTAAAAGGTCAATTGTGTTCACAGGTGTATCCATTATCATTTTTTTCCTTTCTATTTTCATTAATCAAAAACATTTTTATGCATAAATTGAACTTGAGGAAAATCAGTATTAAGAAACTTGAGGCCCGGTGCATGAAATTTGTGCGGGGGGCGGAGGGGTCCCCCTCAGCCCAGCCTGCACCCTCTCCAATCTGAGACCCTTTGGGGGATGTCCAACTGCCGGTTTAGGCCCGATTCCTGGGATTGGGCCTAAACCGGCAGTTGGACATTTCTCTCACAATCCTGGACTGCTGGCTCGTAATTGCTCACCTGCTTGACTGCCTGGTCACCCCTTACTGCCCCCCCCCCGGCCTGGTCACCCCCAACTGGCCCCCTCTGCCAGCCTGGTTGCCCTTAACTGCCCCCCTGCCAGCCTAATTGCCCCCAACTGCCCCCCCGGTGGCCTGGTTGCCACCAAATGCACCCCCCCCCCCGGTCTGGACTGGTTGCCCTTCATGGCCCTTTTGCCGGCATGGTAACCCCACACAGCCTGCTGCTCAGTCGTTTGGTAGTCACTCACTAACACCCCTGCCAGCCTGGTCATAGGCAGCCATCTTGTGAGGGCATAAGGGTTATTTTGCATATTCTATCTTTATTATATAGGATGAGCAGGGGAGAGGCAGGCACATCTTATCTTAACTGGTTTTTGGCATAAC